ACTGCATTTTACAAAATACTAGTCTACTTAAACCCAGCTACAACAAGTCACTTTGTAAAGACTAAAGGTCAGTTTTATATTACTGAACATATGGTAACATGAGTGCACGTGTACCGCATCATTGTAACTTCTGTATTGCTAGCCAGGCATGACTGAAAGGTCAATATAATAAAAATAATAAATATATATAAATGTATAATGTTGTGAGATTTAAGCTATTTAGTCTAAACTTTATATTTTATCTGTTATTTTCAGTAATTAATCTATTTACAAATTCTGTAGATTTGACCGATCTCACCATAAAAGATTTGGAAATAAATATAAATTATGGTTCTTTCATTCTAGAATGAGCTCAAATCATAACACGAAAACACAAGTGTTTAGACTAAATAGCTTAAATCTTATATTATATATATTTATTATTTATATTACATTGACCTTTCAGCCGTGCCTAGCTAACAATACAGAAGTTACAATGATGTGGCACACGTGCACTCATGTTACCATATTGAATAACATAAAACATCTTTGGTCTGTACAAAGTAACTTGTCTTGGCTGTGTTTTAGTACACTAGTATTTTGTAAAATACAGTCACATTTCAATTATTATACATTATATATGTATACTGATTATAGCTATTTTGAAATAAATTCTTAAACTGATTTTTCTTAAAACGTAGAACAGCAAATAAAGAAGTAAAGTAAACAATAATCTCTTCTAGTTACAACCTTTGTACTCGGTTGCTGCTTGATGTAGGTTGCTAAGCCTTTAAAAAATTTTGCACAAGGAGGATATGAAACAAAATAATTTTTTTAGGTTTTATATATATATATACATTTGAGTAACTAAAAAATAATAAATTACTGCATAAATATCATACAATTCCACTGTAATTTATCAAGCTTAGTAACTAAGGTGTATCTTAGTCTAAAAAAATATGGAATTTCTAGCAGACTAAAGATATACCCTACCTCCTTGAATTATTGGTTAAAAGGAAAGAATTGGCATCCAAGCCTGTTAGAATGACTGAGAAAGCCACTAGGAGGATGTTCTGAGCTTCTAATTGGTTTTTCATGTCATATATAGAAGTATGTGTATATAAAGGACCATTTCCTATAATGGAAAGAGGTGAGTGGTGCCACTGTGATTCAGTACATGAGCAATATGTTAGCAAACAGAAAAGGACATTCTTATTTTATATTCTAGCTTGTTAATATTGGTAATTTGAGTTTCTAATTCGTACGAAACTACAGACCTAGTATTTTGACTTCACAAACATCTAATTTGAACCAGTGCTGCATTCAATATATCAAGTGACACAGAAAAATCTGTTTATCTGTGTTTTTTAATATTTACTTTTAAATTAAGAAACTGAGTAATGTATTGTACTAAAACTTGAATTATAATCTACAGTTTGATACCAAACTTATTGCCATAAATTTATGAAATTGTAGTTCAATAAAATTTTGAATGCAAGTCAAAAAACAAGATGACATGGCCTTTCACCTGTGACCTTTCAAAAGGGTTAAAGAAAGGCTTCTTTTTCATTCATAGCATCCAGTTAAATGACAACAGAATTACAAGCCAGCCAGTAAGAAGAATACACGTTATCTTTCATTGTGAATAAAGATTTTGCTAATATGTTCACTTGTGTTTCTTTTATTTGCTGTCTGATTTTGATTTATTCTCTGCTTAACTGTCCAGAATTTGCATTTCTGGATACCATGCAACTTCCTGCTAGACTCCAATGATATGAATAACACATATACATGATGCTGCATATATCCTTAAGTGGAAAATTTAAGTAAAAAAAAAATGGTAAATACAAGTGTAAGGTTGTTAAACAGGTTATACTATGGTAAATGAATTTCTTCTTTTCATAAAATATTTTCCTAAAGTTAAAAAAACAAAAACAAGATCAATAGTCTGTTCAATAAAGAATATACCTTAACAGAAAACACAGTTCCTTATGTGGAACAAGGTTGTAAACAGAGAAAGTGCTACAAGCAGTGAACAGAGATGAACACATATTCAAATATTTCTCCCATCCCATCATACACAAAACAAAAATACCAAAACACAGTAACAAAAAAAAAACCAGCATATACTTTAAAACAGGATTTTATACAAAATAACACCTAAAAATACTTACAAAACTAATGATAGTCAGTCCCTGATAATGACTAACAATATGCACGTAATTTAGAGCTTAAAGATGTATCTGAAATTGAGAATGAAAGGTTTAAGAGATATCATTCATTAGGAAATATAAGGTCATTGCAAATGTAAATTAGTATCAGGAAATGGTGAGTGCTGAGCTTGAAGGCTGTGAATACCCTGAGTAACTAATTACTGGGACTGTTCCTAACATACACATACACTTTATATATTATGCAAAGTGTTATCACAGTTATAATATATAAGTTACTAACAAGTGCCTTGAATTTAAAAGTCATCCAAATTAATCGAACATGCTTGCTTACTTCAGAAATGTTTTGTTTTAGTGTAAAGGTATACAATGGGCTATTTGCACTGTATCCACTGCTGGAAATTGAACCCTGTATTTTAGTATTTTAAGTTTGTAAACTTGCAACAGATCCACTAGAGGACACTTACTTCAGTTAGTGGTAGTGAAAGTATTAATTAACAACTAATAAGTATAGCAAAGCATAACACAACTAACCTGTGCATCATGGCAAGGATTCCATGAGGCATCATAGACAACAATCCGGTTAGCACCAATGAGATTTATCCCTAAGCAACCAGCTCTTGTGGAGAGAAGAAACAAGTTTACAGCAGGATTGATGTTGAAATCATTGATTATTTTTTCTCGATCCAGACCATTAGTACTTCCATCTAGCCCTGTGCAATTACAAAATAAAGAAATGTAGAAATTAGCAGAGAACAATCAATTGATGGTTTCTGGTTCTTTTTTATCAGGATTTAGAGTAATACTCAGACTACTTTTATAAAAAATACTAAAAATTCCTTTATGTAGGCCTTTATACAACAAAGTCATAAATAGTCTAAAGAAGAAAAGGCAAAAATATGTTGGTTTTATTTCCCCTTTAGAAGTGTATCTGTTTGTTGAATATCTAGTTGTTGACTCAGGTCAATGCACCAACTCTGCTAAAAAAAAAAAAACAGCACAAAAGTTTAATGAAAATGTCTTCACATCAAACTGGCCTGAAGCTAATCAGATGCCAATAAAAGTAAATTTTTAAACTTTTAAGCAACTATTTCACTAAAAGTTTGTGAAGTTCAACAACAACACATTTAGAAAACAAAACAGAGCTGATTTTTTCTCAACATTAAGCACTTAAAACGTTTAATTTGAAATAGATATAAATCAACTAAGCCAGAAAAATTATGGAGTTGCTGTTTTCATGGTTGAAAAAAAATATATATAAACTGACTAACAACATATATTACATTGACCTGCCTGGAAACCACCAAAATAATAAAATTTAACTTTACCTTAGAGCAACAGACAAAGAATTAATTGTTTAGATTTGGTTTTAAATTTCTGGTACACTGGAAAATTACTTCAAACATCAGATCAAATAGAGCTGCCACTGCTAGATAGGAACGTAGACCACCAGTCTTACTGTCAAAATTTACCTTCATTTGCTTTTCAAATGAAAACTTTCAGAGAGAAAAAAACAACAACAGGTATATATTAGTTTTTTTCAGCTTATTTATTAAGGCTTGAAGTTGGTAAAGAGCAGTGTTTCAAACTGACCATGATTAACCATACAAAATTCTAATGCTATGTGGATTACTAAAACCAGTAAAATCTGTATAAAACCTTACAGGTGCCTGATCTGCCTTTGTTCTGAATTTCATATTGGCATAAACAGAAGAAAATGATTTTTCTGTACCACCCAACATTTTCTGGCCAAAACACAGCAACATAAACTCAAATTATGAGATTTAAAATATTTAATCCAAAATAAATATTAAAGAATTTTTATTTCATTTAAATATCCATCTCCTCACTTATCTTCAGGAAAGTTTCACTAAACTAAATATTTTTTTATGATATACAATGCCTTAGCCCAGCAAAATGTAATATATCATTGTTTCGTGTGACCTTACATCACAATAAAATTTATAATATTGGGTCTTACTGTTATGTACTTTTTTTTCCCTCAATTTCAAGCACGTTTTTTTTCTAATATTTGTTTATCAGTACAATATAGTGGAGATAGAAAGAAATGTACATGTTATTAATATCAACTGATACCAAACATAGTTTCTAAATTTTTTAGGAAAAATTCACTGAAAATATTTTGGAAAAAAAGACAAGCACAGCTGTAATAAAACGTACGAAAATAGTTAACATTCCGACACCACTTTTCTTCAGCTGGTCGTAAAGGAACTTCTTTCATAGCTAGGAATTCTTCAAGGAGGTTTAAAGTAAAGAGACTTTGGCTAAACACAAGTAACTTGTCACCATTTTTAATCGTTTGTTCTATGATGGCAAATAACACTTCCATTTTGTAGCTGTTCTCAAGAATCCTTGGTCTGTAATTAACCATCAGTGGGGAAGCCTTAAAAACAAGAACAAATAAAATAGCATCAGAACGCACACACAGCTTAGGAATTATGATTTAAAGACACAGTCCACATATCAATGTTTAACATCTTTTAGTGTCAAAATAAGGTTAATGAAAATTGAAAAAAAATTCTTGAACTAAGTTAATTACTGAAAAGTTACAATTAAAATACTATAAAACCAGAAAAATATAAAACAAATGAAATGCAACTAATCCATTTAAATAAATCCACAAACCATTGCAGATACAGTAATAAGTTATTACTTTTTAGCCAGTTTCACCTCTTTTAATTTTTGATTCACTTAGTGTCTGCACATTAAGTTATGTTTATTACTGTAACTCAACTTACATTCTTTTACTCCAACAACAGTGTAAATCTGGAACCTAATGATAATGCAAGTTGTTGCACTAATTTAGACACATCTCAATAAAAAAGTCAGATATGTAAAACATATTGGCATGCCAATACCAATTATTGTTAAGATGATTCATGTACAAATTCAAATAAATAGCTCATGCGGTGAAGAATGAGACTACCAAAAATCTCAGATCATCCTTCTGGATATGTTTACCTCAGGACTAAGAATGTTTTATTTTTACACTTTCCTATTGGGCAAAAAACTAATTACTTTTTAGCTAGTATTCATATTTGAGCAATTAAGCTTAAGCCTGAAAGTCAATTAAATTACTTACAGCCATTATTATGAATATTTATAACTAAAATGTGAACTTCTACTTTAGAACTTAAAACTTGTTAGCTTGATTTACTTATTAGCATCTAAAAATCTAATTAATTTATAATTGTTATCCTCAAATACCAACTACCTAATACTCAATTTATACCGTAAGCCAACAACTCGGTAAATATTGGACATTATTTCAAACATACAATGTAGTCCATCCCATTATGTTTTTCTGTATAACACAGAAGTGTCTAAAGTAGATGCACTTCATAAATGAATTATTTAAACTACCTCAATCATAAATATTAGGAAATTATTTTAGACTCTTAAAGACTAGTGACACTGATTTTCTAATTTTGTGACATAAAGTAATGCATTACCCACTGACCTCATTATTGGTATCATCAACTTCTAAAGCTAATTACCGTATGACACAGTACTACATTTTATTATTTTATCAATATAATGTATTTCTAGCATTCATTGTGAGAAAGAGTGTTAAAAATGAAATTAGCATTTTTCTCAGTCCATTAAATATAATGTATTTACAGTTCAGTTATCATAAGGAGTTAGAAATATTCAATATCCAAAAGCAGTGTAAATACAGTAGTTAATACAAGAGTAGTAAAGAAAAGTTAAGAAGCAATACAAACCTGCAATTTCCCTAAATTCATTATATCACTAGGTGAAACAAAACAGATGGAAAGCTAGAAAAATATTCAATGCACGAGGCAGTGATACCATAAGTACTGTATTCTGAACAAGGTCATAATGCAACAGTAAAAGATTCAGTGCCTGAGACAGTGATACCAAAAACACTGTTGCTGGTTATACATTAGTATCATCTATGAAACACAGTATTTTGAGGTAGGTCATATTGCAACAATAGTATCATCTATGAGACACAGTATTTTGAACTAGGTCATACTGCAATAATAGTATCATCTATGAAACACAGTATTCTGAACTAGGCCATATTGCAACAATAGTATCATCTATGAAACACAGTATTCTGAACTAGGTCCTATTGCAACAATAGTAAAAGATTCAATACATGAGACAGTGATACTGTAGGTACTGTTGCTACATTTGTACTATTTAGAAACACAATATTCTGAACAAGCTCATGCTGCAACAATAGTCAACAGTTTTTCTATTTTCAAATTTTGAATTTGCATTGTAAGAATTTTTGATTACTAAAAGCACTATAACAGCTGCAGTTACTCTAGTGCATGATGACTTGATGATCAATTTACAAAACACACACACACGCATGTAACCTGATCCAAGAGTTGATCATTTGATAAGTTTCCTAAATTCCTATAACATGTAAGAAAGCCAGTTATGTCATATACTTTAACACATCTTCTAAAAACCAACCCAATATCTGAAACTATATATATAGAAACACACGTAATATTACTAACAATCTAAGGTCACTAAAACGGTGTAAAAAATATGGCCATTAAATAATACAGTAACTTTTTAAATGCAAGTAGTTTCCAATTCCAACAATCAAAATCTGGACATTCAGGACCTGAAAATACGACTTAATTTCCAGTATTTTAAAATCTGAAAAAACCTCTATTCATAAATAATTAAATACTTTAAAATGATATTTTTCAGAGTGCCAATTCAAGAAATAACTAAGATTGACTGCAATTATCATGAATAAATCTATACAAAATCCATGTATAATGCAAGTATCAAACAACAAATACATGTACATAAATACAAACTATTGTGTGATCCTTTATCAGCCATTAAGAGACCTAGTATTAATCACAACATTAAACAACAACATATCACAAAAACACTTACTGATACCAAAATGAAGTACTACGTGGAACTAACCTCACATACCCATTCATATGTAATCTTGTCATTTTTGTCTTTTAATGAACCTAAGCTAACTTCTTGGATGTAGTTATTTCTGGGTGCCTGAATCATTTCACTTCCTACTAAAGGACCTTTGCCTACCATTGCTTTGGCAGAAGCTAAAACATGAAAAACAAAAAACACAATACAGACCAATTTCATTTGCTGTCAGAATGAGGATTAAAATAAATAAACTGCACATAATGAAGTATAAATACTCATTTTTTAAAAAATAATCTATAATGTACACAGATTTGATATAAATGTTAATCTTTCCAAATCTTTTTGAAGCATAAGAGGACTCTCAGTAGGACAGTTTTTTCACATTTTATCTTCTAAGAACAGATAAAAGTAGCATAATCCTTATTGTACTTGTCATGCTTGCTGCTCCTGGTTTGGTGCCTTTTTTTGATCCAGGTAGTCCAAAATCAAAATCTAGATCTAAATCTTCATTTCCCTGATTCCTTTGGTCTTCTAAAACTTTGTACAAAACATCTGGGTGATTCCATATCTGTAACAAAAAACCATATTAAGTTTCCATAGTTTATACTGAAAACTCATAATTAAGGAGTTATCATAAACAAGAAATAGCAATTGGAAAATTCATTCAAACTTTATTTGTAAGTTACTTAAAATATACAAAAAAAAATTAATACAGACACAACTTAAAAAACATACAGAAGAAAACCTAGCTTGCAACACAAAGCTGTTATACTTAACTTATGAAAATGAAAACTCCTAAAAGATAATGTCCAATTACATTGAAATACACAGCAAAATTTAAACATACAAAAACATTGCTTATGGGCTTTTTCATTATTTTTTATAGTATTACAATGTAAAATTATTTGACAATTTCTTAAATTTTATTTGATTTTGATTTTTAGGAAAAATATCGTGATAAATTAGGTAAAAAAATTATTAATATATTTATGTTAGCTTTAAGAAACTGAAAGGGAAAATTATTAATATATTTATGTTAGCTTTAAGAAACTGAAAAGGAAAAATTATTTATATATTTGATTTTTTTTCAAAAATGCCTCTAATCCTGACAGATGATCTATGAGAAACAGCCTGCTTAAAAACTGAATGGGATTTGTGACACTGTCTCTCAGTAAAAGGTAGAAAGCGAGTTTGGCTGTATGCTTTCAACTTACACTTTGGAATAATAATTAAGACCAGACATCAACCTTTGCATAAATTACTATACCTATTTTATCTTAATCCCAATCACGTCAATAAAATACCTGTAGTTGTTAGACTAACAAAACATGAAAGTGGCATTGAAAAGCAAGGCTTGAAATTAGCAGTAGCTACCTGGCAAAAAAACCAGTGGGTGCTTTCTCTTCTTTGTCAGTGTGGCTGGTACTTTTTCAATTAACTTATAAATTAACTGACAGACATTTATCAGCAGTCAATAAGTTAGTTTCATGATCCAAAAAGTGACTTCCCAACAATACCTGAGTGAGAGTACATACTTTATTGTAGAACACATTCTTAATGAATAATTAGTTGTCCATAAATGAAGAAAAGTGACTTCAAAAAAACAAAATTTATTCTGCAAATATTAAAAACATTTTAGACTATTAGTTTCCAGGATATTTTGAATTTTTAGCAAAGGCGAGACAGTCATTCAGTGCCTATTTTACAAAATAATGTTGCATTGTTTTAAAATATAAATTTTGTCTAACAATGTTTGCTATTTTAAAAAAATTATAACGTAGGATTGTTAAACAAAAAAAGCTTAAAAATAAAAAAAATCTACACAGCTCAAACTAGAAAATACTAAACATTTTACCTTGCAACAAATAGCAAAAAATTTTAGTGGGTTGCAAACATTGTTTCCAAATCTAAGGTATCTTAAGAGTGCATTGTACAATTTTCTTTGTATAGGTGTCATTCGAACTAATAACACATGTTCCTCCTTGGGTGGTAAGCTGGACTTCAGGACAGTATGTCCCCGCCTAGAAAAAAAGTTATGAAATTATATGTAATTAACTTATTAAAACATTTTTTGTTAATTAAAATTTTATAAGATTCCCTTAGAAAGTAATTTAGAGTCCTCTGTTGTTATTGAATATAAAACAATATTACTCTTACTTTACACTTACACTTTGTCATATATAAAGAATATTTATACACAAATAATTGAACAATAACTATCAACAAATATTAAGGTTACTTAAAAAAGATAACTTCCTTTAATGATGATTACTTACAGCTGCCTTGATCGGATATTAAAAGTAGACTACTTTTCTTCAAAACATGCATCATGTGCAGTCTTTTTTTAAGTCATGTTTAACCCTCTCCAGTCAAAGGCCATGTTATCGCGTTTGTTGACTCGCATTCAAAATTTTATTGAACTACTATTTCATGAATTTATGTCAATAAGTTTGGTATCAAACTGTAGATTATAATTCAAATTTTAGTATTATACATTATTTAGTTTCCTAATTAACAGTTAAACATCAATTTTTGTGTGTCACGTGGTATGTTGAATGCAGCACTGGTTCAAATTAGATGTTTGTGATGTCAAAATACTAAGTCTATAGTTTCATATAAGTTAGGAACTCAAATTAACGATATTTACAAACTATAATAAAATAAAAACCTCATATTTTTCTATTTGCTGAGATATCATTCATGTACTGAATCAAACACAGTGGCCCTGCTCACCTCTTCCATTTTTGGAAACTGTCTCTTATATACACTTACTTCAATATATGATATGTGAATAATCAATCAAAAGCTCAGAATATTACCCTAGTGGCTTTCTCAACCGTTTTCATGAGCTAGGATGCCATCTCGTTCTTTCAAACCAAGATTTAAAAGAGGTAGGTTACATCTTTAGTCTGCTCAAAATTTCATATTTTTTTTAGACCCAAATACAACTTAGATACTAAGCTTGATAAACTATAGTGGAATTCTATGGTATCGATATAGTACTTTATGATTTTTTGGTTATTCAACTGTATATATATAAAACCTAAAAAAATTATTTTGTTTCATATCCTCCACATACGAAATTTTAAAAGGCTTAGCAATCAAGTACAAAAGTTGTAATTAGAAAAGATAATTGTTTGCTTTACTACTTTATTTACTGTTCTGTGTTTTTTATTTCTAAATAGTAATACTCTTTATACATATATAATGTATTATAATGGAAATGTGACTGTATTTTACAAAATACTAGTCTACTAAAACACAGCCATGACAGTTCACTTTATAAAGACTGAAGGTCACTTTTATATTATTGAACATACAGTGACTTCTGTATTGTTAGCCAGGCACGGCTTAAAGGTCAATATAACAAATATAATATATATATATATATATATATATATAAATGTATAATGTTGTGAGATTTAAGCTCTTTAGTCTAAACATTTACGTTTTCATGTTATAATTTGTTGTCATTCTAGAACGAGAGAAGCATAATTTATATTTATTTCCTAATTTTTATGGTGGTTATGAGATCAGTCAAATCTACCAAATTCGTACAGAGATTAATTACTGAAAATAACAGATAAAATATAAAGTTTTTCTTAAGAAACATTTGACAACTATCTGGACATCATAAAGATTTCGCATGTGAAATTTTAAAATTATCTAATGCATAAAAATATTTTTAATCTTAAAATGAAAATCACTTTGCATGTTGGATAGACAACATGCAAAAAGAAAAAAAAAAGGCTTGAGAAAAACATTGCTTAACAAAATAAAAAATTTGATATTTTGCATACAAAAGCATTGCAATGTTTACTGATAATCTGCTAAATTTTGTTAAGATATGCTTGCTAATTTAAAAGTTATAGCATGAAAACTATAACAAGGACAAAATGGTTACGAGGTCGGTCTCAGGGACTGAGCCAATGCTGAAAGAGTTAACATGTGGACCATATTTATCAATTCTTTCTCTCAGAATTGTGTTACTTCTGTCAAATATTAAACAGTACATTTCATCACTCGCTCCAGACTTTATAAAAATTCAACATGGAGTCCAAAACATCATCTCAAGACTAAACAATAAGGAAGGATAAAAACAAACAAAAAACACAGTATCTATAAATTAAAATTATATTAATTTACAACTCAAACCTTTAACTAATGCTCTTGTAAACCACACATGCAATTTTTTCTTATATATTTCAATACAGGGACTTATTAGAAGCAATTATTTAGTTGAGCTTATCAGCTTATCTTTCACAAATTATAGGTTTAAAATAATAAAAAACGTACATATCAGTATGTTTAATATGATAGGTGGTATCATGTTAAATTGATGCTCATCTGGTAACAAGGACTATATTCTACAATACAAAAACTGCAAATAATATAAATTTCACAATAAACGTTAACAGTATTTGCATACCTCTGCACAAAACCTTCCAACAAACTGTGAAGAACATGTGCTCGATACCTCATCTGTTTTCTGTCTTTTGGAGTGCTGTCTAGGCACTGGCCATTCTGAATAGGACGTTCAAACATATTGCAGAACTCATTGCGATTGCCCAGGTAGTTGGGTCGTACAAAATCAACCATACACCAGTACTCCAAAAGGTTGTTTTGTAATGGATATCCTGTCAATACCACTCTTCGTCTAAAAACAAGCAAAAAAAGTGTTAACTCTATATGGGTTTGATAATTTTGACTAACCATGTAACCATGAAACTATACATAACTGTGAATGAACTAAGTGTATCTTCACAAAATTTGACAAGCTTTTGGTAAACATTACAAATATTTTGTACACAAAAATCAGATTTTTTAATAAAGTAATTTTACTAAATATTTTTCTGTGAACTTACAAAGCCTTTAACCTTAGTAAGACAATCTGGGTGAAAAGTTATTTTCATGTTAAAAATAAAAATACTTCTTTTCATCTTATAGATTTCATATTTTATTTGAATAATCTCTAAAGCCCCCTAAATGAATATCAGCTTCTTTATCTGTAAAACTTTATACTTTACTCTTATCAAAACACACAGTAATGTGCTGCACAGCCAAAACAGCCTGCGGGACACACTTTATGTTATAAATAGGAGTGATAGTTTGGCAATTTTCTACTATCTGTAGCTCGGACAGTGATAATCCAAATTATCACATATTTTCTGAGGATTTTCTCTATTGGACCCTTGCTTCACACACCAAATTTCAAGACAATCCATTAAAAATACACAAGATATAAAATTTCCAATTTTGATTGAAATGCTTTCTATTTTTTCTTCTTCGCATCTAAAGTACGGAAACTTTATTTAACTTTTATGGATTTTTGTCAAAACTTGGTACACTGATAGATCTTTACAACCTACAATTAGATATCAAATTTGGTATAAATATAAGCCACATGTGCAAAGTTATTCAACAAAATAGCTCAATTTTGACCAACATTTTTGTGCACTCCTATACAATGAGCTATGTTCACTACAGCTTCACCTCAGAGTAAAAGTGGACCATTTTTAGCTTTTTTTTTCATTCAAATTAAAAATGGCTGATTTATAGCAGCAAAACTATAGGGTGAAAGCATGTGCTGATACATTGGTTAGGTCAAGCACACTAGATTAGCAGTTTCTAGCTCAAGTTTTCAAATGAATCATGCAAGTGGACAGTGATTATTCATTATCAACTTTTAAACACAAATTTTTTATATTTTATGAAATTCTCCTAATTAAGCATTTAGCTTCATGTGATAGTAGCTTAAGCAATTAGCATAAATAATAATGTTCGATATGGCTGTACCAAGTGCATATGGGTGATAACAAGAAACTGTTAATCTAGATTCTATAGCATTACTAAAAAAGGAAGTTATTAACACTTTTTTTAAGAGAGGAAAAACTACCACTATATATTTCAAAGAATCTGGTTGGTTCTGTTCAGTATAGATCTCTTCTGAATAATAGGGTTGCAATCTTAAAGCTAATGTTAGTTACTATCAAGTGTCACTTTCTTACTTGCTGTGGTTTGTTGGTGTGCATTAACAAAAAGTCATGATATCTAATCAAAAACTTTAGGGGTAAAAAAAAAGGTGCGACCAAAAAAGGATTCAGTGTGAGACTTAAAGGAATGAAATCAAAATTTTTGGCCAAACTTAATATGGAAAAACTATTTTGTTTTGTTGTTATTTATCACAAAATCAATTATATATGCACCCAAATATTAAGGTTGGCTTAACCACTCAACCAGTTACTCTAACAAGTTAACATTAAAATAGCAATATACACATAATGAAAAAAATCTAATTTTTAACATATAACATTTTGAAATATAAGTTAAAATGTTGAACATTTTCAACTACATTTATTCAACTGGAGTCTTGTAATATCACTGTATGATTTACCTACTTGGTGCGTATGCTTTTTAATGCTGTAGAAGTGCTTGCATGGCTGTTTTTTATTCTGTGTCCTTCATCACATATTACTAGATCTGGTCCTGGATTGATAATGGCTAGATAAATTTCTGTAACAATAAAAGAAATTTTACATACACACAAACATATATATAAAATTTCTCTCCTGTGAATACAAAAAAAAAAACAGAATCAAAGACTAATAAATAGCAAAACACTATATTACCAGAAAATATCCAAAAGCCTGCAAACGCTTAGAGAAATGTGGTGGTTTCAACAAAAATAAAGATATATATTTTGTTCCATCAAGCAACAAACACATCAAATGTTTTTTCCTAAATTTAATAAGTAGAACTCCTTGATTTCTTTTTTTCAACTCTAAATATTACAATAAGAATTAACACTTTTAAGACAAGCATCTTTTTTCTGTACATTTACCCAAGGTTTCAGTGAGTTATATTCAACATTTAATTAAACTGCTTTCTTATCAAGATATACGAATAAATATGGCACAAAAACAAAGCTAATAATCTCAATTTCAATATTATACAAGATTTAAGTTCTTAATTTTATAAAGCAATATTTGAAAAAAAATCCTGAATTTTCCCTAGTATGAGAATTGTGACATTTGTTCTCTAGGTATTCCCTCTTTTTTAATTTATTTACCACTCTTCCTAAATACTTCTTTCTAAATACATACATTTTAATTATAAGTAATGATGTAAAATTAAAATAATACCCTTATCCATCTTTAGAGGTTAAACTGCCTAATATTTGTAAATACTTTTAAACACGTTTTTTTACGCTATTTATGCACCAAACTGCTTGTGGGTAAATAGCTTTATTGATTAAAGGGTCCCTATCAACAAATACAAGGCATATAAAATATGCAAACAAAAATACTTTTAATAATTTAATTTATTTTCCTTATTACTTATGGGGTGCCCTATGATCTGTACATAAAAAATTAACAATTTCATTCAATTTTTTTATCAGTACTTTACACTGAATGTTCTATCAACATACGATTATTCAATATGATACAAAGTGCGAAGAGTATAAAAACAAGTTAGTAATATAGGGTTCATATTTATATGCACAAAATATTAACAAAAAATGTTCTAATTCTGAATGATACAAGAACCAAATAATTCTCTGTTTTCTTTAGATGAAAATATCATGCAAAAACGGTTATAGTTTTAATAATTAAATTTGTCTGATCTTTGAAAATACCTTCCAAAAGATTCCTATTCCTCTCCAGCTCTTTATAATCAAGTTCTTTTTTTGCATCCCTTTTCTTCTTACTGAATGGAATCTTTTTCAAAGCAAACATTCGAAACATTTCGTATCCCATAAGCAGCACACCTCCTTTTTCTTTCCACTCCACTGTAAAATCAATAACATAAAAAACAACATTTTTATTTTATTTACTAGCACCAAGATATAATGCAGTATCTTCATACATTGTAGAACATAAAAATTAACATGCTACACATTTTAACTTAAAAATATATAAATGCTAATGATGGAGGGGAGTACAACAATATACATATGTTTGTATTTGTATATGCAGGTGTTTTAATGAAATAAAATCTAATATAAATATGTTTGGTTGCAGACTATTAAGGATATCAAATAAATGGAGAGTAAAACTGGTATATCTTTCATTTGCACAAGCCAATGTCCAAGAAGTTCTTTCATTCAATACTAGAACTCGTATGTGCTTTGCTAGATCATAATAGCAGCCTAAAGCACATCTGAAATACTATTTATATGCAGCCCAAGAAATATATTGCAGTGAAGTTATATACTTAAGCTGGTGACCCAATGAAGCTTTTTAGACCTGTGGTTCTTGTACTGAATACAAATAATATGTTACGGACTGATTAATAAAATTAGGAGCAAAACAAAGGTATTCAGTTAATTATAATATTAACCACTTTTTTTGTAAGCGTAAAAAGACTTTTTACTTAGCCAGCACATTAATACACCTAATATATTTCTCCTTAAGAATGTATGCTTATTACTTACGTAAAAAATCATATTAAAAAATGAAGATTTTTTTTTTCTGTATTTGTCTTCAGTTATATTAGCCATGATTTATACAAAAACATCATAAAATGTACTTTCTAAGCTCTTTTTGGATTTTGTACTGACACTTTCTTCTGGCTGTAGTTCTATCTGTATTCTATATATAATATATGGCATTTTATTAAATATGTAAATAAACAATATTCAGAAATGGGATTTTTTAAAGGTATGTGGATTTTACAGTTATAAAAAAACACATTTAGTACTATTAACTTACTTATCAGTTCAGCTCTTGAAGTTAGGGTCTTATGATTTTCATTCAAAAGAAACACATCAAAATTTCTTTTTCTGAATTGTTCTGGAGGAACAGGAGACTGAAAATATTTTTCATGTGGAAGCCACATGTTAAATTCTGCCATCCAGTTCTGCAAGGTGTTAATAGGAACAATACACAGCACATTACGAGCTGATGTATGCCGAAGAAAAACTTCCGTGAACGAAATTATCTACATAAATGACAAACATATAAATTTAAGCTACTACTAATGGATTAGCTGAAACTCATCTAGAAAGGTTCAATAAGAGTATTTTAACATACACAGCATGAATAGTACCTAAGCTGAAGAGAACAGATCTATAAACAAGATAGTTTCCCCATTTTATTTGTATATCTTATAGCATACGTCTTTAAGTATATAATACAAATATCAATCATTCACTGTAGATATGGGAAGCATATGAATCCCTAAAGGTGTAGCTTTTAAACCATAATAATACGTAAAAAACACGGCAGTGAACAAGTACATGAATTAAGAATATTTCATGTGGAATGTTTTTCTGTCATGTTAGTAAAAGTCCTAAAGTAAACTAACAGCATAGAGCTAATGCAAGCACCTTTTTAACAAACTTCATGCACTGACAATATACCTTACATGCAAGAAAATCCTTTGTTCAGTAGTAAACTTCAAACATCATGAATATCTCGCAAAACAAGTAATCCAATATCACGAAACCTTTAAAAGGGAAGTCCTTTCTATTAATTAGGGGGCGGTAATACAATAAATGAACAGTCAACCAATGGTTAAGAAAATACTGTTCATGAATAAAAGTAAAATTACTGTTATAACTCATCAACATTATACATGCACTTATATTAGTAAAACGAGTAATCAATCACAGTTTTATTTTTAATGTGGACATTGTTAAAAATGGACCATCTGGGTCTTTAAACATGTATCTTGTCCAAATGCTGGTAACAAGAATTGATATATACACATTTTTTTGTTATTATGTACTATGGCTTATAATAGCAACATCAACACAATAGTATGTAGCTAAACAAGAAAGCTCCAGTGCTATTTCATGAATTCACTAAAATATTTTATTCATTCTTGTTATTATTTTTATACTGCCTTATGAAATTTTGTCATTTGCTATTTGACATGCTACAAGTTAACTAATGTTGGAAATTCCTCTAGCTTCACTGCCTTTGAAATTCTCAATCATATAAGTGCAGTGTCCTTTCTGAGCACTAATACATCGCTTATCATATACACACACAGCATACTAAGTTGACACCCACTTTAGAAAGAAAGCCATTTTAGTTGATAAATGAATACGAAACAAAAAGTGAAAGATTACTATTAATATATAATGGATCTACCACTTGTAATCTTTAAGACACAAACACAGTTACTACATTTTATTTACATAGTCTGAAATATGAATCTGATGGACTGCACCCCAATCCTGAAGAAAATCTTGGATGAGGGTAGAGTGTTCCTCCAAGTTGTTTGTTTGGGGACAATTTCACAAGGAACAATCAAGAATGGACCACAAATGCTTGATAGAATTCATATCCAGCAACAGGCCTGGACACAGAACAGTGGTAATACACTGACCTTCAAGCTGTTGTTTCATAGTTTGGGCTGAGTGAGTAAGAGCCCAATCTTACATAAAACTGCCTTTTCTGATATGTGGTTACTGAATTAGAGAGGCAGAAGGTCTTGTTTGATAACTGTGAAATACTAGGCAGCAGTGAGGGTCCTTTCATATAATCACCAGTTGTGACCATCCAGTTACCAAAATGGCACCTACACCATAACAAAAATACAGCCAAATTCTGCTATGGCTTGAAGAAGATTTAACAAAAGTTCTTGGGAAGATAGTCACCAAAGTTTAGGAATTGTGGAACTTGTTGGAAAAAATTAAAGCATCCCAGAGGCAAAAGGGTGTGATAGCATCTCTGGTGTTAACATATCATATTGCTTGGAGTGAGGATTAGCTTTCATGTTGTGCTTGCTATGAAGGAAACTTCTGACAGTACAGAGGTACACTTGCACCAGTCCAACAACAGTAGTAGCCATTTGATGCACATCATTCATTAACACTTCTATTCATAGCACAATGAAGTTGTTCTATGAGTTTTGAGTGACTTGGTCATGCATAAACTGTTGTTTTACAGTATAACTGTAACCTCATTGTCACCCTATTCACTGTAGACCTCAGCATTGTAAGTGACCTGGCAATTTCTTGTTAACTTTGACTCCCTTCTCACCATCCAACTATGCAACCTTGTTTGTTGAAATGGCTAATTGTATATGTTGGTCTTTACCAAACTATACCTATACTTATGCATCAATGATATTCATGTATAATATCACGGAGATGGTTCTGTCTTCTTGAAGGTGCCAATTACTTATGGTAGACTGTGTGTGTGTGTGTACCACTTCATTAAAATACATTATTAAATTAGTCACTTCATCATTGTTTTTTGAAAATTTTATAAATATCTACAGTTACAAATTAATAAGTGACCACTGCAGGATCTAAGGAAATGCAGCATGAGACAGTGATTTACACTTCTGATCACCTGCCAAGACTGTTGTTCGGATGTGCTTGTCGTTGCTATTGCTACCATGACCACCTATTACATAGTGGCAACAAAATTGGTGGGCAAGATGTTTATTTAAGGACTATCTGTATCACAGCTACCAGGGCTCCCACTCTTTAATACTGAGAAAAGTGCTACTATATTTAGAAGCTAGTGGAAAGCACAAATGGGCTTGATGGTGCAATTCCTATTAATATGGCATGTGTAAGTAGCATCAGCAATGGGAAATACTGTGTGAGTACTATTCCATTATATACATATATATAGAGAGAAAGCAATGGAAATTTACATGTTCATTAGTTATTACTTTGATACAGTTTCTATGTAAACATACAATCAAATTTTGCACAGCATGTATAGCTTAAATGTGTGGTTTGTCTAAATATATAAAAAAAATTTACAATTTTCACATAACACCAAAAATAATTGAAATTTCTCCAATTCAAACTCTTTCTGCTATGAAGTAATAATTTTACAGACTTTCAACTTTTGTCATTTCCAATTTTAATATGAATGTCTTTACAAAAGACAAGATAATTACCTTCAACTCTATGTTACTACAAGATTTTATCAGTTTACTTGCTTTTATCAAATACTTAATGTTGTTTGCCACTAGTTTAATTAAAACTCAAGTCAGCCTTAATTAAAAATATCCACAAAAATTTCCCTTTCATTAGCAGATGTTTTAATTCTCTTAAAAAATGTTCGATAAATTTTTGCATACATAACCTAAAAATACCTACAAAAGTCTCATATTAAACAAGTAAATTTTAATAAAGCTCATGTCAAAACCAATTGTTAAATTTGATTGTTATATGTAACACATAAACTTCATTTAAACAGAGAAAAACTTTTACATCTAGTTAATGCTTAGCAATCATCTACCTGAAGAGTTTTTCCCAAGCCCATACTGTGAGCAAGAATGCACCCAAAACCACCAGATGTCTTGAATCTTTCCAAGCTTTCTACAACATTGTCATATAGAAACCGTATTCCACCAATCTGAAACAAACCCAAATACATTATGTAATTCTCAACCTCAACTGACAAAATTACAAGTATATTCAAGGAGAGTTATTGAAAGAAAACATTTATACACTCTTATCTCTTGGAAATGACTTTACAGTCTTGATTAAACACTCATTCAAACAATTAGAAAATTCAGCCCATTTCACCAAATGTTATTTTGAAAATTCTAACAAAAGAATCTCATAGTTTTATAAAACAAGATCAAAATTATGTTGCTTTTCATTTATAAACCATGTGATAATCATAATGTTTGCTTAATGAAATCCAAGTTTAAGATAGAAATAAAAAATGATGCAAGCTATTTATGACAAACATTAGTTAAAAGAACTCGAAAAAATTACAGAGCAAGTAAGTCAGTTGTATCATTATATAAGTTAACATTTTCCTAAATTGAAAATGTATTTCCAATAATATTTACCTCCGCTGCCATTTATAGCTATTGCTCAACTGTCAGGGTTTCAATCTTTGCCCATCTAAGCATTGGTCTGATTTTTTCCCATCTTTTATACCCCATTCAATTGCCCTTAGCGAAATACTCTCCACTTATATCAATGCACCCTCTATCCTAGTACTGTATATAAGCACATCATTCATATAATCTTATCACTTTTTCGAGACTGATACCATCCCATTCTCGGACACCAGCTCTTAGTGGGGAGGAAGGGCAGGAGAGTGTCAGCAGAGGTAACTATTATTAGAAATACATTTTCAATTTAGGAAAATGTTAATTTACAAAACATACTTACCTCCGCTGCCATTTATAGCTTGAATCCTACATTGAGAAGGCCAGTGAGGGCATTATCCATACAGAAAGCATCTGCACAGATCAGAGGTGTACAAAGATAAGAGTGGTACCTGTGTGGGGGAACCACACTACATCCGGAACAGGTATGCTCTTTACCCTGTATCATTGTTGGAATTGTACATGAATAATCATCACCATAGACCAGCCACAACCAGTGCGCCGAGGTTCCACAACTCAAGGTTGAAATTAAGAGGTCTTGGTCCCTATATCCCACGTTGTTGGCTATGGAAATTGGACTGCAACATTATATATATTGGATTGAATACATTGATTGGATCCCAACTTGTAGCCATAGGGTGATGTGTTCCAAACCACTGGAATCACAATGAAAAAGTAAGCAACACCAAAGTGGACAAACTTTCTCTTCCACCTGAAGAAGTCTGAAAGTCCCAGGCTTGTAATGATGGGATTATGTGTGCCTTACTCAACCAAAGGAACAGAGCTCAACAGAGATGGCCAAAGAGAAAGAGGCAGAAGTAGATACTCTTGAAGATACTGTAGAAGAAGAAACCATGAATGGGCTGGCCAATCTGGAGCTACCAACAGCACTTGACAAGTAGTGAATTGAATTGTAACCAGAACTCTGGATAACAGATGAATTGGGGGAAAGGCATAGAGGTGCAATCCTGTCCAATCTTGACTGAATGCATCTACTGCCAAAGCCTGAGGATGAGGTACCAGGGACCAAAATGAGTGGCGAATGCATTGATCATAAGAGTCCTGAACTGAGAGAAAATCCCCCAGAAAACATTGCGGTGGAGCATCATATCGGTTGGGTGAATTTAGTTGGGCCGAGACAGGTGACCAGCTATTAAATTATTCACCCCTGGAACATGGCAAGCCAGGATGTTGATATGATGGGAGGGAGCCCAGTAGAGAATATCCAAAGTTTGAAAACAAAGGTCCTGAGAACGTGTGCCCCCTTGATGGGAAATGCAAGAGACCACTGTGGAATTCTTGGAATGAATCATTATGAATTTCCCCTTCAATAGATCTAGACCTTGAACCATTGCCTGGTGGACATCAAAAAGTTCTAGAATATTGAAATGGAAGGAAGTTCATCTTCCATTCATAGACCCTGGAATTCCTGACCGTTGATATACGCACCCCATCCCTGAAGTGAGGCATCTGTGAAGATAAGAATCTTGGGCGGTGTAGGAACACTGATGGTAGTGTTGCTCTGATCCAACCACCACTCGAGATCTAAGTTGTTGCTTCTGATTAGGGAGACTGGATGATCCAGTTGATCACAGTTCACAATCCATTGGTTGAGCAGCAATCACTGCAGGGACTGCATGTTCTCATTCAAAAGAAGTCAGAGATTTGAGGGATGCTCACATCAACAAAATAAAAAGAGAACATCTGCACAGTAGGAGAAGGAGAGGTAAGATCCTGAATTCCCATTTCATAGCCTGGAGCCGAATGGGAGTTGGCTGTGCCCAGCTCAAAAACATGTTGAAAAAGACATCCAGGTGGACAATATATTGAGTAAACAAAAGAATGGATTTCTCAGCTCTGATAAGAAAGTGAACTTTGGTGGCTTATGAAAGTAGAATCTGGGTGTGTTCCACCAAATGATGAGATGGTGCCAGAAGTAGCTAGTCGTCCATATAATAGTGTGTGCACAGGCCCAAAGCATGAAAATGGCGAGAAAAAGCTTGTATGACTCTGCAGAAGACATAAGGTGCAGAAGCTAGTCCAAAGGGCAGAGCCCTGAACTTCAGAAATTTCGAAATTTGGTCATCCACAGACCTGGTGAAAAATGCCAACAAAAATTGAGAAAGGACTCCATTGTGAACAAGGGAAGATGTAAGAATTGGTTGAGACAATACGGATCAATGATTGGCAGCCAATCTCCCATCTTATTGGGCAAAAACAAATAAATGGGAATAAAATCTCTGAAGAATGGGATTGACTCTCTCTACTGCCTCCTTGACCAGTAACTCTCTGATGGCCTTGGAACGAAGATCCACACTCCATGAAACTGGTGGGGATAAAAATACTACAGGTTGGAAGGATAATTGAAGTGAATGACCAACCCTGATCCCAGAACCTGAATTACCCATGGATCTGTGGTGAAGGAATTTCAGGTGTCCAAAAATGTTGAAACCTCATCCCCATGGACCCCACCCACATAGGGTAGTCACTGACACCATTGGCAAGGCATGCCTGAGCAGAAGAGCCTAGAACATAAGGATGGGATCTATTTTTAGCACCAATAGATTGAGGAGGCAGAAGCCGGGGGTTGGGACACACAATGAGCAGTCACACCATGACTTCCAGCAGAAGACAAAGAAAGTGTAGAGGCCAACGACAACAAGAAAGAATGCAAATGGGTAGCAACAATTCGTGATTACAATGCCTCTGGAACACCCGTGAACATCAAGAGACCAAGAAAAGGAGCTTCATGTAACTCATGGAGGGCTACAGCAGGTAGACAAACTCCCTCCAACAAGGCATTTCTACCCCATAAATCCCAACAACATACAAAACGGGAAAACAAAAAAGAGCAGAAGCTAACAAACGTACCAAGGTAGTAGTCAGCAAAGGACCCAATTCTTCCTCAAATTGACGTGGGGGAACGCTGATAGGTTCCGACAAAATTTGGGGGGAAGATAAATATCTGAGAACAGTAGTGAGGGTCAAACAAATCCAAGAAAATTGTGATCTGTTCAAAGTGATCACAGGGTTAAGTCTGGAACTCCACATATCCAAAAGATGATCAAGTCTTTGGGAATCTAAATATACATCCTTCTGGTGGTGGTAAGTTAAAGCATGCTATTCCGACAAACGTGGGAGACAAGGCATAGCTATCCCCTCAGGTAATTGAGCAGCAAATTTCCCAGTATGAAAACCAATGTCAGGTGAAGGAGGAAAAACTAAATATTCACTCTCAGACCTGTCAGCCATCAAGGAAGGAGTAGATTCAAAGGCAACTAGAGAAAGCCCCAAAACTTGACAAACTGAGTGGTTAGTTGAAGAAATGAAGCAAGAGGTGGCTGATCCAAATTGGCTTTGTGAGAAGCCAACCTAAAGGTGGCAGAAAAAAAAAAGTCCAAGTTCTTTCCAGACTGTCCTGGATCATCAATAAAAGCAGTCTCAGAACCCCCTGGAGAAAATATGTCTCCATCTCACAACAAATTAGATCATGGATAGCCTCAGCTGAGAGTGACCCCTAGACCTTTGAGAGATGCTAGATAACAGAGGTAGAATAGAGGAGGGCTGTTTCCATGCTGGAAACAGTAACCTGTGAATTCATGCCTAAAAATGGAGTGTTGCAGTTTTTTTTTTTTTTAATAATAATTATTAAATACAATTTATATCAAAAGTCCCTAGGCAATGAGAAAATTGCAACGAAGCACGTTAATTATCGCAGAACTTATGTAGAGAAACCTATGTCTAAACACTTTGTCGAGAAAAAGTGATAAGATTATTTGATTGAGCTACTTATATACAGAACCAGGATAGAGGGTGCACTGACGTGGGTGGAGAGTATTTCGACAAAGGGAATTAAGTGGAGTATAATAGACTGGACCAAGCAAGAATAAATCAGACTAATGTTTAGATGGGCAAAGATTAAAACTCTGGCAGTCGAGTAATAGGCATAAGTGTTAGTGGAGGTAAGTACGTTTTGGAATTATGATTTTTTTTCTACATAATTTTGAAAAAGCAGAATAAGCAAAAAAGGAAGATGCATTTTACACAAATGATAATGTGATTACACATTTATCAAAGTAACTTTTTTGTTACCTCATTCATCATTATCCTACATAAATTTCTTTATAGAAATAACGTATTATAGTTTCAGGCTCATTCAACTCAAAAAAGGATAAGAAAAGTAATATAATTTCCATATGTTCCAAAACTATTAGGGAAGTCCTGAATGATCTGAATCAACAAATGTCAACCTCAAACACACTTTTGAACAAGTTTTGAATAAATTATTACAATACCATGCAATTAGTGAGAGATTTTATATTCAACTTAAGAGATTCACCTGATGTGGTTTCACAGATCTACCAAGCTGAGGAGCTAGAAAAATGTCTAGCTCTTCTGGTGGATGTCCAATATTCACTAGAACAAATCCATCTTCATTTGGTTGATTCAAGGCATCATTGGTGTGGGTTCCACTGCTGGCATGATCATCATCTAAAGTGCTATCTTCATCTTCATCACTCACCATAACTACATCATCCTCTTCAATGGATTTCTCCTTAGTCTTCCCTTCATCATTATTTTCTAGTGCTACATTTATGACATCTACAACAAACCCCAATTAACATCATTATTTAACATTTAATAAGCTTCTAAATGTCATCAACTTTTAGGTATACATCAAATCTCATCCAAGTAAATCTGATAACAAGTCATAACATGTACAGATCTATTTTTACTTAGGAAATTGCAGAAAACAAACAAACATAAAAGTAAGAATAAATAATGAGTAAATATAACAGTGATGTGATAGGAAGTGGTACAAAATAAATGACAGGTCATAATGTTAATACCACATATTTTTTTTATCAGCATGTTATTTCAGGCAGAATACTTTTTATTTTCAGGAACACAAAAGCCTCAACAACCAGAATTATCAAAATTATGATTCCATTATACCAAATAAAACAATATTGTGGATACTACAAGTCTCGGGAAAATCAATGTATGTGAAATGAGAAGTTGAAAAATACGAAATAAAATTAAAAATACTTTTTTTTAAAAATAACTGCAGATTGTATGTTTGTTTGTTTTGAATTTCATGCAAAGCTACATGAGGGCTATCTGCACTAGCCGTCCCTAATTTAGCAGTGAAAGACAAGAG